AGAACCAACTCGATGGCACTTAACAACAAAAAGTAATACCAACATGGTAGACTGCTCAATGGATGTCTACAAAAATCTTCATTCTGATGATATTCCTAATGCTTTGTGAGAAACAAGAACCACAGTTGCTACACAACTTAAACAATTTCAGGTAGAAACTTAACTAATTGTGAAAATGTTTGAAGATCCAGAAACTAGTAAGCAAATGCAGTCAACTAGAGATGATCAGACATCATTTGACGACCTGGAAGACATGCATGGATTTAGATAGTATGCAAAATTCTAATGTAAATGTAGGAATTACTCAGAAGCAGCTAAATACCTTAACTTTTTTAGAGTGCTGGTTCCAGCAGCAGACAGAGCAATGCTTTGAGTTCACTTTGGGGGAAACTGAGCTCTGAAATCTTGATGCAGCAATAGAAGACCTTCACAGTTAAAATAGACCAAAGACAGTAATTCTGTGAGTCCTCTGCTCCAGTCCCTTCAGCAACGAAGATGGTTCATTCACTGGTTTCTGTTTGTTTTCTTCAACCACCCCAAAGGCCACAATCACATTACTGTTCTGTCCATTACCAATCCAGGGTCTGCATAGTCTCCACTATTTCACAACAGCAGTCATAACAAACAAAGGTGTTCAAAAAGGCCAGCAAGTGTTAAAACACCTAGTCAGGGCTGTTTCACAGGAAGCTTACACATAGAAAGACCCACTTACAGAGTTTGTTGAATGCTTATGTGTTAACTTTGCCTTTGATGGGGCTCAGAAAAAGCTAAGGGAATGTGAATCAGGGCTTGTGAATAACTTCTTCTTGGTCGCTGGCTTTGTCAGGATTTCATTGAAAATGCCCATCTCGTCATATTTGACTTTCTGTTTTATGCATCAGTGTATCAGCATTAACATGCTGGCAGATAAATTGAACATGAGTCCAGAAGAAGTTTAAAGGTGGACTGAGAATTGGATTAGAAATGCAAGGCTGGCTGGAGTGGCTAGAAGAACAGAAGATACTTCTTGAAGGAAGGACCAACAGGAAAAACATAAAACAATAACAGCAGTCCGACTGACTACTACAAGAACAAGAAAGTTGCTCGCCCAGGAGACATCAAGGCAAGCGGTCGGGTCTCCTCAGGGCAAACCCTCTTCTAAGACTGAGACTCAATGGGAATACACAAGTAGACATGCACTCTGACTGGTGACCACTTTGGTAACCAATAGCAGGAAGTGAGGGAAGACAGCAATGAAGCTGCGAGCTAAGTCCAACCACGTTCAATTGACTCCTGTGAATCCAAGTGGAGACCTGGTTGGCCAGCAGTATGGCAAGACCTGGGGACTCCTGGGCCCAGAGTCAGTGACATAGTCACAGAGGACTAGAGTGGAGAGCGAAGCATCCAGCTGATAAGAAGAGAAGGCATATGCACAAGAACACCCACACTTGCAGATAATACCCACTTGACCTGGCTTCAATGGCTGGATGATTAGAATTTAACTAGAAGAAGAAAGAAGAGGGGGGAAAAAAGTAATCTGATACAATTTGATGAATTTGACCTACACCTATGGATGCAGTAGCTCAAAAGAGGGAACAAATCTTTACAGCAAGGATCATTCCCACCCCCTCAATACACAGGGTAGACAGGGATGGGCAACTTGGACATTGGCTACCCAAAATGGGGGTGGGGGTGGGGGGCTACAAAGGCAAGAAGTGACTGGCTTACAAGCTTTCAAAAGGGAACATAGATCCAGAGTGCATAGAGGAAGTTGGAATCTCCACTGAGTAGTATCCAATCTGTCTAGGCGGGGCTGCCGTAAGGAGATGCCAATAGGTCTCTTGTGATACAATAGTGATTAATTGTTATCAAGACTGATTGTGAGGGTTGAAAATGTAAAGGTAGACATTTTGTAGCAAAAGGAGGGGAGTGGTTGACTTTGCAGTCCAGGAATGGAGGTCCCTGGGACCATCAAGGGAGAAGAGTAGAGAGCGGGACCCTACCCAGAGAACCAGTGATGCCTGAGATGGAGGCAGAGACAACGTGGAAAGATGGAGCAGCTGGGGACTCTAGACCCAGTGAGGGAGAGGGGCTGTGTGCTGACCACCAGGGGGCAGGCTTGCAGGTATCCCTTTGGTTGTTTGATGATGTATGGAGGGGATTGTAACCATGGCACGGAAACCATATACAATAGAATGAATGTAAAGCTACTGTTCTCCCATGTAAACTATGACATAATTCACAATAAAACATTTTTAAAAAGAAATGCAAGCCTGGATGTTGAAACTGATTCTACATTAGGTCATGTGGTTATGGGTAACAATACCGTCTCACCCTATCAGCAAGCGATTGAAAAGACCAAAAGCCTTTCTTTTAGAAGCTAGATGTTGGCTGTGAACAGTAAGAAGAAAATCAGAATAGTGGGTCAAAGGATTCTAACTGGGCAACTTAGGACTCTGGCTTCTACTGAAGAACTGTTTTTAACAAGATGAAAAAAAGTAAAGGAAAGACGCAACAATCAAACCGCTGTGTAAAGTGTGACATATATTTTAGAAACAACCAATTAAGTGTACATATTGGAGAATTTGAATGAAAAAATACATATATATGTTTATTAGCGAAGTCCTGGTGTGGAGCTGTAGGATAAGTACTGGACAACTAACCTCAAAGTAGTTCAAACTCACAAGCCTCTCCTTGAAAACCCTACACAAGGTCCCTAAGAGTCCGACCCGACTAGACGGCAGTTAATAACACAATAACAATAATTGCTATTGCGTAGTTTTTAAAAGACCATTGTGAATGTTTTAGAAGATTAACATTCTTTTATTTTAAAAAAAAGATGATTTTCGGCCGGAGCCTGCGACCGACTGGGAGTGGAGTGGAGCGGCCGTTGTTGCCGACTCTTTCCTCCTCCCCGCGGTCCAGTTAGTGGGTTGATTAGGCCATCGGCCCTAAAGCCGAGACTTGTGTCATATTTAGTTCTGGAGAACGCCTGGCCGACATGAGTGATGTAGAGGAGAACAACTTCGAGGGCAGAGAGTCTCATTCTCAGTCAAAATCTCCAACGGGAACTCCTGCTCGTGTAAAATCGGAGAGTAGGTCAGCATCTCGTAGTCCGTCAAGGGTTTCCAAACACTCCGAATCCCATTCTCGATCAAGATCAAAATCCAGGTCGAGATCTAGGAGGCATTCTCATAGACGTTACACTCGATCCAGATCCCACTCTCATTCTCATAGGAGACGATCTCGAAGCAGATCATACACACCCGAATACCGGCGTCGAAGGAGCAGAAGTCGAAGTCACTCTCCAATGTCTAACCGCAGAAGACATACGGGAAGCAGAGCAAATCCAGATCCTAATACTTGTCTTGGAGTGTTTGGCCTCAGTTTATACACAACAGAGAGAGATCTTCGTGAAGTATTTTCTAGATATGGACCATTGAGTGGTGTCAATGTGGTTTATGATCAACGAACTGGGAGGTCTAGAGGATTTGCATTTGTTTACTTTGAAAGAATAGATGACTCAAAGGAGGCTATGGAAAGAGCAAATGGAATGGAGCTAGATGGCAGAAGAATTCGTGTGGATTACTCTGTCACCAAGAGAGCACACACACCTACACCAGGCATCTACATGGGCAGACCAACTCATAGTGGTGGTGGTGGCGGTGGTGGAGGTGGTGGTGGTGGCAGACGTCGAGATTCCTACTATGATAGAGGATATGATCGTGGGTATGACAGATATAAAACTATGATTACCGCTACAGAAGAAGATCACCTTCCCCTTATTATAGTAGATACAGATCTCGATCAAGATCTCGTTCTTACAGCCCAAGACGCTATTGATAAATTGAA